GAAAACATCCCACGTTATATATGAGGTGTATAGATGTTTTCTTCATACTTCCTAGATTCAACATTTTCCAAAATAGTTTTATATTAAAATGTTTTTTTAAACGTGCATCTTACTGTCTTAATACCACTATAAAACTTGTCGTATACAAAATCAATCTTAGTTGAATTCATAAAGTTCTTGAAGAGATTCTGAACTTTCCAGATTGACGTAAACATTGACGGCGCCATTGAGCCGGACTGTCTCTTCACGCAGTGATTGACAGTTTCTTATGAGGTATTCGGAGGTTTGTTATAAAGAAAGTTGAAAACACTTGTTTAAGACATCTCATAAATTGATACAACTGAAAATGTGCAGGTTGTCTTATAAGGAGTTGAAAATACTTTAAAATAACACTCTGGCAATTAGATGTACGCTTGCTGCTAACAAAACATCTTTATGACTGATCGAAAGTGTGTTGAACGCGAATATAATTTTCATGCTATTGGCAAGAACATGATAGATACTTATAACCAATCTCTCATCAAGCGGAGTTGGTCTAGTTAGGCAGTAAGAAGTCTACCACGCCAAGGACCAGTGATCGAATCCCACGCTCAAGTTTTTTTTTATTGTATTTTTTTGCGTTGGTTTTTATGATGTTTCCAAAATATGTTATAAGACCAGTATTTAGTTGTATAAGCTCCGCGTCTTGCGCTTTTTAGGTTATATAAATGTATTAAATGACGTATATTACAGTATTATTGATTCTTTACGTAAGTCATTAAAAAGTATTTTCAACTTCTTTATGACAAGCCGTGTTGCTTGGGTAGGTCCAGGCACACATTCAAAAACTGACCACTTTTATGAAGAATCTGGATATTCGGAAGGGTGTTTTATGGCTACTGGGTGTTTGAATTAATATGGTGCTGAGATGTATCCTCCTCGCAGAGTTTTATGATTACTTTTACGGTGATTTGGGAAATCCAGTTTTATGGTGGCATAATCAATATGGTGATGGCATTTTTTCTCTATGCTCAAGATTGTACGCAATTTAGAAAAATATTATGGACCTCTAGGACTAATTTAAGGAATTAACCATTTTACCGGCCTTTTATAGCTTCCGGGGGATCGAATCAATATCGCGCTGAGACATATTTGTTCAAATAAGCGCTCTATTCATTTTCTAAAAACTTGCAGAGCTCTAGGTCCACTTCCTGAAATGACTAGTTTTCCAGTGATTCCGTATATCCTGAGAACCGTTTTCTAGCAACCCCGGGCAGAATCTATATGGTAGTGGTATATTTCCTCTATACTCAAGATTGTATGCAATTTGGAAAAAATCGCGAATCTCTAGGACTACTTTTAGGAATTGACCATTTTTCTGGTGAATCCGGATATCCAGAAGGATGTTTTATGGCCACCGGGGGACCGGATCACTATGGCACTGAGATATCTCTTCTCAACTAAGGGTTCTTCACATGTTCTAAAAAATCACGGATCTCTAGGTTTACTTTTAAGAATTGGCTATTTTTCCGGTGATTCCGGATATCCAGAGCACCATATTCCGGCCACCCAATAGCAGTATCAATATGTTGATGTCATATTTCCTCTATGCTCATGATTGTAAGCAATTTAGAAAAATCGCGGATCTCTAGGTCTACTTTCAAGAATTTACTATTTTTCCGGTGATGCCGGATATCCAGCGGACCGTTTTCTGGCCACTTGGCTGCAGAATCGATATGTTGATGGTATATTTCCTCTCTGCTCATGATTGTAAGCAATTTAGAAAAAATCGCGGATCTCTAGGACTACTTTTAGGAATTGACAATTTTCCCGGTGAATCCGGATATCCAGAAGGGCGTTTTATGGCCACCGGGGGACCGAATCACTATGGCACTGAGATATCTCTTCTCAACTAAGGGTTCTTCACATGTACTAAAAAATCACGGATCTCTAGGTTTACTTTTAAGAATTGGCTATTTTTCCGGTGATTCCGGATATCCAGAGCACCATATTCCGGCCACCCGGTAGCAGTATCAATATTTTGATGTCATATTTCCTCTATGCTCATGATTGTATGCAATTTAGAAAAAATCGCGGATCTCTAGGTCTACTTTCAAGAATTTACTATTTTTCCGGTGATTCCGGATATCCAGAGGACCGTTTTCTGGCCACTTGGTTACAGAATCGATATGTTGATGGTTTATTTCTTCTATGCTCATGATTGTAAGCAATCTAGAAAAAATCGCGGATCTATAGGTCTACTTTCAAGAATTTACTATTTTTCCGGTGATTCCGGATATCCAGAGGACCGTTTTCTGGCCACTTGGTTGCAGAATCGATATGTTGATGGTTTATTTCTTCTATGCTCATGATTGTAAGCAATTTAGAAAAAATCGCGGATCTCTAGGTCTACTTTCAAGAATTTACTATTTTTCCGGTGATTCCGGATATCCAGAGGACCGTTTTCTGGCCACTTGGTTACAGAATCGATATGTTGATGGTTTATTTCTTCTATGCTCATGATTGTAAGCAATCTAGAAAAAATCGCGGATCTATAGGTCTACTTTCAAGAATTTACTATTTTTCCGGTGATTCCGGATATCCAGAGGACCGTTTTCTGGCCACTTGGTTGCAGAATCGATATGTTGATGGTTTATTTCTTCTATGCTCATGATTGTAAGCAATTTAGAAAAAATCGCGGATCTCTAGGTCTACTTTCAAGAATTTACTATTTTTCCGGTGATTCCGGATATCCAGAGGACCGTTTTCTGGCCACTTGGTTGCAGAATCGATATGTTGATGGTATATTTCTTCTATACTCATGATTGTAAGCAATTTAGAAAAAATCGCGGATCTCTAGGTCTACTTTCAAGAATTTACTATTTTTCCGGTGATTCCGGATATCCAGAGGACCGTTTTCTGGCCACTTGGTTGCAGAATCGATATGTTGATGGTTTATTTCTTCTATGCTCATGATTGTAAGCAATTTAGAAAAAAAATCGCGGATCTCTAGGTCTACTTTCAAGAATTTACTATTTTTCCGGTGATTCCGGATATCCAGAGGACCGTTTTCTGGCCACTTGGTTGCAGAATCGATATGTTGATGGTATATTTCTTCTATACTCATGATTGTAAGCAATTTAGAAAAAATCGCGGATCTCTAGGTCTACTTTCAAGAATTTACTATTTTTCCGGTGATTCCGGATATCCAGAGGACCGTTTTCTGGCCACTTGGTTGCAGAATCGATATGTTGATGGTTTATTTCTTCTATGCTCATGATTGTAAGCAATTTAGAAAAAAAATCGCGGATCTCTAGGTCTACTTTCAAGAATTTACTATTTTTCCGGTGATTCCGGATATCCAGAGGACCGTTTTCTGGCCACTTGTTTGCAGAATCGATATGTTGATGGTATATTTCTTCTCTGCTAATAATTTTTTGCAATTTAGAAAAAATCGCGGATCTCTAGGTCTACTTCAGGAATTGACCATTTTATCGGTGAATCCGAATTTCCACAGAGCCACCTTTCGCGGGTGTTCCTGTTCCGATTTGCCAACCACAAGTGCAATCAGTTCGTTGCCTGTTTTGTTCGTAAGTAGATAGTTATACCTTTGAAATAGTGGCTCAATCTTGAAATTTGGTAACCAAATCACCGAGAACCAGTCATGTCAACTTCAATCGACACGCATTTTGCTCGGGACTTTTCCGGGTTTTTCCGTTCCGGATGGCCAATCACAGGTCCAATCGGGTATCTACCTGTATTAAATGAAAGACGATAGCCATAACTTTCGAATGGTGGCTAAATCATAAAGATTGATCATCGCATTATTGAGAACCAACCATGTCAACCATGAATCGACACGCATTTTGCAGCCTTGGGGCTTTGAGAAAGTTTTTATGGCTTGGGGTTATGTCAGTTAATGGGATACTACCGTTTTTACTCCATTTTAACCATATAACTTCATCGTCTTGAGAGATGGAAAATTGACGTCTTCGACAAAGTTTCTCAAAATGACTTCATCTACAATTTTTCCATGAAATTATCATCAATTTCAACAAGACATAAAAAAGTAATTTTTTATCTTAGTGTATACCCCCCTTAAGCAAAAACTTTCTCCACTGCAATAAAGTAATTCAAAATTGAAGAAATATTCTAGAAGACATCAAAATGCTACACTCAATAGTTTCATCGCAAATGGCCATGTCATTCTTTTTTTGATTTCGTCCCTCTGTGCTACGTGGACTATGGGTAAATCAATATGCATGTAAGCTCCTTAATTAATCCTACCTGGAGGAAAAGCACAATAATTTCGAGTAGATGGGAACAGTCAGTATGTAAACATACAATTAACGGCACACGACACGTTACATCACGAACATACAACAACAACAACAATAAAAATAGCATGCGATTAGTATAGGTAGGTGGGTGAAGGGTGGTAAGTAGTACACAGGAAATGAAAATTACATAGCCAAGCAAATGATGACCCTGTAGCACGAAACTGAAATGAATTGAGTTTTTTTATTTACCAAATGCATCGGCAAGGTAGAGCATCATCAATTAAAAGCAAACGGGTCGAAAAAGGTTTAATTCGTTTGAAGGAAAACTCTTGCAACAACAACTTCATCTGATCAAATTAAAGCTCGGCGAGTAGTAATCGAATGCGAGTGCGGTACGGGAAATAAGCCAGCTTGCTCCAAGGAAGAAACGTCGGAGAAAAAGGAAAATGTGGGAACCGTAATAAAATTAGCGTAAATTATTCCGAGCAGCAGAAGCATCGTAGCGAACCGTAACGTAAAGGTGTAGGCGTTGTATACGATAAATAATGAAAAGTGACGTGTGGTTTGTGTATAGTCCTGGCCACCGCAGCCCGTGAATTAGCGCAGAGGCGTCGGTTGTTGAGCTTTCTCCCATGTACCGGTAACAAGGGGGTGAAGGTGAAAGAATAAGGGTAGAAGAAAGGTGCTACTGTTGTTGTAGGTTGTACAGAGAGCTTCCGAAGTTAGACGTATCAGCATTACCTGTCCTGGGTTGATCCGATGGATTTCAGGCTCGATATCGATTTCGTTTCCGTTTCGATGTTGCCGAGGTCGTTCTCGTTGAACTCGGCGGCACCGGGGCCGGAGGTGGCGTTGCTTTTAACGTCATCATTCAGTGCTACTCCTCCTCCTCCTCCTCCGCCGACGCCACCAGTCATGGAAGCCGCGTCCGTCGAATCCACGCTAGTCATTAGTAGGTTCTGGGTCTGATGAATGTGTGGCGGTCCCGGCAGGGGAGGTTGCGAGCCTCCCGAATGCTGGATGTCGAACGACGGTGGTTTAGTGATTTGAGCCTGGTCCAGTAGTTTGCTGTTGCTGTTGACGCTGCTACCGCCGGCACCACCTCCGCCGCCACCACCATCGATGGTATCCAAAAAGCTTGGCTTTGGCTGGACCGAACTTACCGGACTGATCGGGCGGCTTTCCTCCTCGTTCCACGATGTCGGTGAAGTCGGCGATCGACTGATTTTTGGACGGTGTTTGAGTGTTGAGGATTTTTGTTTTGGTGTTGGATGTGGGTCATGATGATCGGACAAATGATGAAACATAAAAGAAATACGAAAAATGGTGCGTAAAACAACAAATGAGTACAACTAAACAAACTGAAGCACATTTATCAAACTGGGAATTACATAGCCGGGAGACACGGGACAACAATGAAAGAAGCGACGTCAGTTATTTACAAACGCAACTTGATAGATATTATTCGTGCGCTCTGTTTCATTCGTCCTTGTCGGCTTCATTTCAGTTTTTTTTTCTTGTGTTAACACGATTAACGACATCGAAAGCGACATTAAGCTACTATACAACATGTTCGGTGTGGGGTGGGAGGACTGAGCCTATTAAGTACAATTGAATGTCTGGTCGTTTTTTGTTCGCCGGGAGGCTTGTAGCAGAACTTTGTTAGACTAGATTGTCACTTACCTTTCGTACAGGCAGGCCGAATCCAGTTGGGACTGGGACAGGGCTAGGTTGTATCGCCCGTCGGATGGGGAATCGACGAAACGATAGGACGCCACTCGACCGAACATCACCACCGAGCCGTTCTGGAATGGGAGAGAATGAATGATTGCAAAAGCGTTAGTAGGTGTGGTTGGGCTCCGTTTTATTTATTTTTGGCAGCATGAAATTCATCCCGTTACGAGGACTTGTCCTGTAACTCAGAGAGAGTTTGTCGAAAATTATCGCACATAACAGCGAAATAAATAGCGCGTTTACCGCCATATGAATTAAGGCTTAAAATATCATACGCAATTGGCCATTCATCAACAAAACGTGAGTCAGGGCCGTCTTAACCGCCCTATGGTTTGATATCAAATTTGAATCACATGAAACAACAATAGGTATACTACCAGTCATAAGTATGGATCCGTTTCGAAAAGCATTGCAACACTCATTTGAATATTGCATCAATTCCCAAAAAGTTTAGCATCACTTATAACTTCATAGAGCACCGAATCACTTTAGAAATTATTTCCATCATTTCGGACTGTGACTTTCGCAGTGACTAACTTCCGCAGAGTTTTGAATCCCTTAGGAAAGTTTTGAATAGATTCAGCAAAGATTAGAATCATTTCTAAAAGTACCTTTTTTTTCCTTGATTTGTTTTCCGTCGATCTTGTTTTCCGTGCTGAGCACTAATGCTACCGACGCCAGGAAGGCAGCTCCCACACCTGGACCCTACCTATCGACCCATCAACTCATGAACCGGCGACCAACGGCTTTACTTCCCTTCCGAATTCTTAAAGTACTGAATGTCCTTAGAAATGATCAGAGTCACTTCGGAAAGGTACTGAACCACTTCGGAAAATATTGGAATTTTCTGAAGAATTAATGAGTGAAATGAATCACTTAAGAAAAGTTCGGAATCACTTCGGAAAATACTGAATTACTTTATAAATTATGGAATCTCTTTGGAAAGTATTGAATTATACTACAAAAATTTGTTATCACTTCCGGAAACACTGCATCACTTTGGAAAGCACTGAATCATTTAAGAAGAGTTTGGAATTACTTCAGAAAGAACTGAATAGCTTCAGAAAAGTTTGGAATCACTTTGGAAGGTAATGAATCACTTCATAACATTTCTTAATCACTCCGGAAAGTACTTAATCAATTCATAAAAGTTTAAAATCATTCCTGAAAGTACTGAGTCAGTTCAGAAAGAACTGAATCACGTCAGGAAAATTTGAAATCATTTCAGAAAGTTAGATCTCTGCAGAAAAAATCGCAAATACTTCGAAAAATACTGAATCACTTCATACAAGTTTGGAATCACAGCTGACTAAAAGTAAATTGGTGCGCACAAAAAGACCTGTAATTCATGATTAAATCAGTTTAAAATGTCCATTAATGGTTGCTTTACAGTACTTTTATTAAAAGTTCATAGTTACAGCATTAAATGGTTACATTTCTCCAGTTCGAATGAAATCCCGAACCTTCCTCTTGAAGGAACCCATCAGCGCCCGCACAGTGGGAATGGACGCGGAATCAGCGCATTTCTTCCATTTTTCCCGCATTTGCTGGATGTCCTTGACTGCCCCGCCGCTTCGTCGAAGTCGCTGCTTTGAAACTGCCCAGTATTTTTCGATTGGTCGAAATTCCGGACAATTCGGAGGATCGATCATGCTGGCAGCAAACCAGTCCAGAACTACCTTGGAGTAGTGGGAGCTGGCCAAATCGGGCCGAAAGATGACTTTGCCCCTATGCTTGCGGATGAACGGCAATACACGCTTTTTCAGGCATTCGTCGGTGTAAACTTGGGATTTCATAGTCGAGGATGTGACGAATGGTTCCGTTTTCAGGCCACAACTGCAAATCGCTTGCCAAATCATGGCCTTCTTCGCGAACTTGTCGGCAAACACGAAGTTGAATCTTCCCGGCACATCCCCACTTCCAGTCGCGTTGTAAAACTTTTAACCGGGAAGCTGCTTAAAATCGAGTTTGACGTATGTTTCGTCATCGATCTAAGTGCAGCCCTAGTGTTTCGCCAAAACACGGTCGTACAAGAGCTTTGCACGCTTTTTGGCCACGGAATTCTGCTTCATGTGCCGGTTCGGATGTTTACTGGTTTTGTACGACTTGTACCTTTCCCTCGAAAGGATGTTCTGCACCGTTTAAAAGTTGGCGTTGTACCTTCTGGCCACATCTCGGATCGAAAGACCGGGGTTGGCTTCAACGTACCTCAACACCTTGCTGCGCAGCTGACGATCCCTGGTTCCAGTTTTTTCGTAGGTCCGCTGATTCCTTTCCACACTCAGGGTTTCCTGGTAGGTTTTGAGCACTCGACAAACTGTTATTTTCGGCATTTTCAGCACTTTAGCCAGCTTGTAACCGGGCCACTCCGGATTTTCCAGGTGTATTTTCTTCTTTCGAGTTCCATTTGATGTTATTTCTGAACGCGATCGACTACTTTGATCGAACTTGCACCAGTTGGTCTCTATAGAAGTGTAAACAAACCACTGTAAAGGATTTTCGATTCCCAACACTAGAGGCGTGCTAGCACGAGGGGCGTACCAATTTACTTTTAGTCAGCCTTTAGCGCCATGCAACGACTGAATTCAGAACCGAACTGTCTTTCTTTCAGACGGCCTTAGTCTTCTGAACAACTTTGCTGAAGACATCACCTTTGCAAATAATCAGAATTTCGAGATATAGCAGCATCAATGTAACTGTTTTTATGTGATGCTTAACTTTTTAAGGTGATTCAATATTCGTGTACTTGTAACAATCTTTTTTCGTTTAAATTGTTGATATCAATTTTTGTCAATATTTCGTTCTCGATATTCATGAATTAGGGTTGCTTCCACTGACTTGCTATAAAAAATTGTTTGAATTATGAAACCATTAGACGATATAATGATATGTTGTACTTGTAAATAACAAGAGTATATGTTTGGCTCATAAAACCTGTCAATTTTGGTTTTAGAGCGTCACAATCAGCGATCTAATGATTCGTAAAATCTCTGATTGTGACGCACTGAAAGCAACATTGACAGGTTTTATGTGTCCAACATAAACGACCTCTTCTTGTAACATACAAGTACTAATTAATCATGTTTTGTTGTTTTTGACATCATCCACATCCAGAGGGCCAGTCACTTTCCAATGTATGGGAATGGTAGGAAACTATTTAGAAATGCATGAAATTTTTTAGTTTTTATTCATTATCGCCTTAATGGGCAGTTTTAGATGCACAAAAACTGCACGAGTACATTACTATGATGATAAGGTAAACACTCGTTTATTTGTTTCCTTCTGTGAAAGCATGTTTAGTCAACAATCGTGGATTTTCTGATATTCTCCATACTGCAAAAATGATTTTCCTACCACTGAAGGGGCGGATCTTCAGTATAGCTACTACTCAAATCATATAATTAATTATCATTATAACCTATGAAAACATTAATTCCGTAAAACATTTTTTTTATAGCAAGTGAGGGGAAGTAACCCTCAGGTTCATGATCAGTTACCAATTAAGTCTGGTTTATAGCATCCCTCAATTTGGCCTCCCTTAGCTCAGTCAGTAAAAGCGCAGCAGCAAAGCAAGACTGGGTGGGTGGGTGCGATTCCCGGTCCGGTCTAGGGATTTTTCGGGTTGGAAAATTCCTCGACTTCCCTGGACATAGAGTATGATTGTACTTGCCACACAATTGTACTTATGCAAAAATGGTACAGGCAACGAAAGCTCTCAATTAATAACTCAACAGAACACTAAGTTGAGAGCACGCAATAAGCTAATATGCGATAAGCAAAAAGCTTGAAATACGTGGAAGAAAAATAAGAAGAAGAAGCAATTTATTTTTCACTAATTTTAATCTATCTTGAGCAGCTGGTGGACATCATTGAAATAAATATGCTGATGATTATTTCCACATTTGGGAAAACCAATTTCCCAAATATCAATTTCAACTTTGTTACCCATGATTTGGACTTATAGAATGCTTTAAAACCTTGATAAAACTTGCAATACTACTTGGGTTCGTTCCATATGCCAAAAATAAGCTAGTATAACTAATCTTCTTCTGGTTTCCAGTCTTGGCTTACCAAAAACAAATTAGATGACTTTCTAGTCATAGTGGGTGTCATAGTGGGCAGTATTTATCAATACAGTAATGACCCGATTTTATCAGCCCCTCCGCGCATCAGACTTATATTTTTCAATAATTTCATATAGCTGTTATTCCAAATCTTTCTCATTCATCTTCAAAATGGATGTTTAAGGTATGCTTTGATGCAAAAATACCACTGAAAAAGCGCATGGGATTCGTAGAACACGGTGTTTGACCGCATCCAGCATCGAAGCAGTATACCGTTTCAGCATATCCGTATCGATGCTTACAACTTGCCTAATCTCTTTAACCGTTAAAGTTGAAGTTCACGTTTCCCATAGTAATTCCCATATAAACTTCATAGGACCAGTGCAGCATGAGTTCGCATCCAAATAATCTCAAATTTTGGGATAATGAGCAGGACCTGATTTAAAATCAATTGAGCCTGGTGGAGCAAAATCGTTATTTTGAACCATTTTAATGTCCACAGCTTTGAACATCATGGCCACCGGAATCTCCTCCATCAGCAAATCGCACTTCAGATAGTACTTTCTTTACATGTTTTGTCAGCAGAATTGTCCGGGTCCTCTTCTCGTGGTTGGAACTCGTTACCTGACACTGTATTGCGTTGTTTAAAACTTGCGTTGCGGTGATCGTATTGCAGTTTCATTTTTGACAGTTTCAAATTTTAGAACAGTCGAGTAGTTTGAAACAATTTTGATACTCAGCATTGCAAATGCGGTTAGTAGTTCCAATTTGAGATTACACGATCAAAAACGCGGTCGAAAAAAGAATCGCTAAGAATTGACTAAGGACTGTTCATTAATGAAAGTAGACACCTGTTTCTCATAGGAAAATATTTATTTTCAAACAAATTCATAAGTTTACTATGACCGATTTCACGTGAGTGTGAATGTTTACTTCTCATTTCTGAAAAAATAGTGGCGCGTAGTGGTTAGCGTGATAACCTCTCAACCCAGCATGCCTGGATTCAG